GCAAATAATGCACATAATATTCCAAATGCACAACCGCTGTGTTCAAAATTTATAAAGATCTCTATGCTTAAAAAAAATAGTACCTTTTTTTTTAAGTAAATCTGGCTTCAAATACACTATTGTTCTGGAAATTTTTATATAAGCAACTCTTAAGTGCGTCATGATACCTACCTTACCTTATGCATAGACTTTATGTATTTTCTTTAAGTGCTTACCCTGTTTGAAACCCAAACCCATTTCGAGTTTCTTTGATCATGTGATTTTAATTAGATTTCTCATTTACATCATAGAAATGCTTGACGTAATTTTTTCGTATTCTTATTTTTAATTAAAAGTCAATTTCTATGATGTAAATGATGTGATTTTTTCGTATTCTTATTTTTAATTAAAAGCTAATTTCTAATGATATATATTATGTATAATAAGCATTATGTTTCTTTGTATGTAGAAGCATTTTCAATTGCTATAAATATGTTATTTTATTTTTTTATATACGATGGGTGAAGAAAGTGCACTTGAGCATTTTAATAATATAGTCTTGCATCCGCAATGTTATCTCAACATACACTTGAACTGAAATAAACCTATGTACTGTATATAGCGGGTTTCAAGCTAACATGCTTAGGCGTGCATAATTAATAATAGCAGAGTTTGAAACCTGATTTATATGTGTTTCGAAACAGTGTTCAAATAGGTTTCAAAACACGAACTAGCAGATTTAAGCAGGATAATATCCCTACTTAAATTTCAATTCAATCTAAGTGTATTTTGAATCAACTTATGTTGATTCTAAAATTACCAATATTACAACATATATATATATATATTTATTTATTTATTTATATACGTATAAAATAATAAAAAAAATATATTTAAAATTTAAAAAAAAAATTGTTATTTAGTGTATAAATTGGATTGCACTATGTATAACAAAGATATTTGTTTTTTTAAAAAAATAAAATAAAAATTCAAGCAAAATTTTAACTGTTACAATTCTAAAAGAAAAAAATTTTCTATATCAATTTCTTTTTCTTTTTTATCACGCATTTGCTGAATCCAGCTTTTAAGACACATAGCTGCATGTGCAGTATCTGGTTTTAAATTACATTGAATTTTGGTTATTGTATTTGTGGCTACAGAGAATGCCTGTTCTGAAGGTACACTTGAACCCTGTATACTTAAATAACATGATGCCATTTTTGCTAGAGTGGGAAAATCTTCACTAAAATGATGCCACCAATCTAATGGATTTGTATTAGAATCAACTGGTAAAGAAAGATATCGAACAATTTTATCCTCAACAGGTACTTGTTCAGAATCTTGTTCTGAAATTAAAGATTCGAAAAATGATCGTTTATTTTTTCTTGTCTGTAAATTATGAATAGATTGCGTATTAGTCTTATATAATTCTATTTGGTTACACAAAAGTGTTACAGCATTTTCACGCTGTTTTATATCTATAAAAGTTTTAGTTTTGGATTGTGGATCTAGTAAAGTACCAATTGTTGTTGAATCATTAATATATTTTCAATATTTCTGAAGTTTAAAGTTAATTGATTCTGCTACTACACACTCATCTAAATTAGTATGAGTTTGAATAAATAAATCTAAATATCGCAACAAACTGATTATTGTTAGTCTTACATCGCTTATAGCAGGATACGTTGAGTTGATAAGATTTCAGTTGCTATAAAAATTGGTTCAAGTAATTGAAGCATGTTATTAACTACTAGCCAGTCATCATC